CACTAGAACTTTTTATATTCGTAATAATTATGTACCCGTTAGCTACGTACACCTTTAATTGAGAATGAGTCAGCAGCAAGAAAAATAGAGCGATGAACACAAAAATCACTTCAAAACCCGTCTCGAAAAGTACAATGAATGGGGCAAAGTTTAATTCACCAACACCATCCACGGGATATGACTTAAGCTATTCTCCACAACTTGAGCAATAAAATTAAACATCGACCATAACGGAGCACCTTTCAACGTGAAACACGTTATTTTCGCGGACAGTAATTGCGGGCTACGGGCAGCCACAGCTTGAAATATGGGCGACCTATTTTCCTGTTAACTGTAACTTAGCATAGGTATGTTGAAAAACACAAAGACATGCGCTCACGTCTTTCCGCCGAAATTGTGGCACACTGTCCACCTGATTTGTAAATTTAGTATTCCTCTCAGTATACAGAAAACTGAGTCGCTATGGTAAAACAAAAATCAGCAATTGCGAGTCGGACTAGCGCTCGAAGGGTTACGGATCTGTGAAAACGGCAAAAAAAAAACTTGCCTCTACTACGTAAGCCCCACTTAAATATTTTTTATTCAGTTTTTTAGTATTTGTTGTTATAGCGGCAACAGAAATACATCATCTGTGAAAATTTCAACTGTCTAACTGTCACGGTTCATGAGATACTGCCTGGCGACAGACGGACAGACAGAAAGACGGTCTTAGTAAGAGGGTCCCATTTTACCCTCTGGGTACGGAACCCTAAAAAAAGTGTTACTAAATATACAACAAAAGTTAACTAATAATTCTTAGAACGATTTGAGGTACTTCCTTTCTTAACTCCTCATCAGAACTGATCTGAATTCAATTAGGGAATCGGTGGCAAGATATAGCAGACATAATTTCTGTATTAGATTTAAACTGTATAACATTTATTTATTTACAAAAGAAAAGAATGTTTATCAGTTATCTAGCATCCATAGTACAAGCGTTGCTTAGTTTGGGACTAGATTCTGATTTTCAGTGAATATTAATATGCCGCAATAAAATATCTTTCCAATGTCTTTCCAGTTACATCATACAATCATATATTTTTATACACACAAGAATGAGGTTGGAGCCATGTTACTTTTTTTGCAAGTCCACGTTATCCTTGATAGGTATTCGAACGGCGTCGTCTGTTTTCTGGGTCGAGACGGTGCTTACAAACGAAATGGTCATATATGCGGTAATGGCTCGTCAACGACCCGGTTGGCACGCAGGGCGTTAGTTCGATCCCTAGTACTTTAAAAATAATACATATACAGTTACAAGAAAAAAGTGTGTTTATCAGTTTCTTAGCTACAAGCTTTGTTTAGTTTAAGACTAGATAAGATAACGAAGTAAATCAATATGTAAAATCATGTCCAGAAGTGTTTATATTTAATGACTCGTACCGCAATATTTTGTTCTCATCGTTTACAAAAAAAATTAGCTTACCGCTTGTACTTTCTACGTGCAGTTAGTTATAAGGCGTTTGGCATCACAATGGCACCTATAAGTGTTCAAAGACAACTATACACCCAGCGTAAAAGCACTTTTCGGAATCTGTTTTTATTTGTCGCGTTTTCTGTCGGTAAACTGATTGTTAACGCTAACAGCGTTTCCATTTCAGCAAAAACGCTCTCCCGAAATTCCAGAGCACTGATGTTTTTTTATGTTTAACGCAACTAAAAGCTCCCGCCTCAACCCTCGTCTTTCCGCGCTTTATCCGTAAGCGTCGTCCCCAGAAGATAACAGTGTTTGCGTTTAAAAATCTGCTTGTTTTATTTAATAACTCTTACTAATTGAGAGCAGTGGATGAGAACCAATTCGAAACAACCAGTCATTGCTCAGATGTTGATCCAACCCAGCAACCGAAACTGCGACGGAACACGTAGCTAAAATTGGTAAGAACAAATTTGAAGTTTTAGACGGCGTAGCAAAAGCTAGGTTCCTACGATGATCCTAGATTCAGGTAGTTGAATTGTATAACATTATATTGTGCGCTCGTCTAAATCCATCCGTTTCGTAGTAACAATCGCCTGATTTTCTTAGCTTGTGTATTATTCTAGACCGAAAACATGATTTCTTTTGTAACATTTGTCGATCCTACGTTTATTTGATTGTGAACATTTTCCTGTACTCAGTTTAAATGCTGACAATTTTCTTGTGCAAAAGTGTGTTACATTTTTTCCGTACGCGTACTGGGTTGGAAACCGGAGCGCGGCGCCAACAAACCGGAAGCGACCTTAACCTGTAGTGGGGTCATTAATTAGCCACTTGGTCGTAAAATGAAAATATAGTGCTGCGTTAAGACCACTATTCGCTCGTTCAACAGCTGGTATTACTGTTATTAAATGTTAAAGCACACTTTGGGGATAAGATTTTTATTATCGACATAATAAAAATCCCTAATTGGGGTTAACATTGCACTAATATACCGAGTTTTAGCATGCAGTAGTAGGATGTGTGTGTAGGCTGTAACTTTACTTATCATCTCATTAGATCATAGTAATACATCATCAAGTCGACATTACTTCTACAACTGGCATTAGAACGAGAGCTAAGTTTAAGTTCGGAGGAGGAAAAGAAACGTTAGACAAACAAAGCGCGCATTCATTTGCAAGTTCGTTCGCAGAATGAATATGGCAATTCAACTCCCAAAAATTAATAGAGACCAGGGCCATTTGATATCCAACTTTGTTATTTGGAATTCTTCGAAGTTTCCCAATTTATGGCCTAACGCGAAGTAATCAAGGAAGTGGCGTTCAACGTGTTTGACGAAATCACTCGCCCCAATTCCCAGTAACCGCTCTGAGCTGCTGGTTGAAGCGATAACTCGGTTCGAGTGCCTCGTTAACTTTTTTATGAAGTGACTTCAAGTTGCAAGAACATCAAATTGGAAATTAAACAATTTATATGTTTAAAGAGCAACCATATTCATAAACAAAGTTTCAATAACTTCAATTATTTAAATGAACCATAATCTTTTTGTAAAGTAAATTTATTAGTAAAATAGGACGAAATTCTTGGGCATACTAAAGATTTTATACCAAGACCTACACACTGTACTACAAAGGCAGAGCGCCAAATCTCACTGCAATCTTTTGATATACGGTCTATTCTGCTAAAATCCATTTATGGTCAATCCAAATTAGAGTTTTTAGCGTATTCTTACATATCCTACAATGGCCGCTCCTGTAGCTGTTACTATCCGCTACGTGTACCATTATTGGCTTTACCTTCGAAACATTACACTCGACTTGGCGAAATTTCACCACCTCCGCCTATTCATATTACCAGGCTTTAGAGTTTTGCGGAATTCAACTAACGGACCTTCCGGGAAATCTCTTGCTTGCCTTCCGGGGATTATCTTGCGCAAGTAAATGGTGCACAGACGACGAATCAAGTTTCCGTTTTATTACGCGAGTGGCAGGTTGTGTCAGCTTGGTATTGCAAACCGATACAGTTGCAACATTCAGTGGAATCGAATTCTATGTTTATCACTTCTAATCGTTTCGAATGAGTGATATTTCTGATACAATTTTTAGATGAGAACAAAAACTATCTGACTACCACAACGAAACAAATCGGCTCCTTCACTTGTGTTTATGTCATTAATTAGGTGAATGCTTAACAAAATTAGGTTAACTATTAACATAAGTGCTGTCTACATAATCATTATCATCATTTCAGCCTGCTTAAGTCATCTGCTGGAGATAGACCACCACTACAAAATTTTCACAAAGCAGAATCCTGAACCACCAGCATCCGTCGACTTCCCGCACATTAGCACAGACTATCAGTATTCGTTACGAGCGCTAAAGCATACTGTGATTACCAATATTGACAAAGCGCTATAGAGTAGACTATGCTTGGTATTTTCTTGCGTGATAGACTATAATAATGCAGATATCCGCAATAGAACTAAGGTAACCGACATCGCTCAGAAGATTGGTAACACCTAACCTGAAGCAGCAACTAGGCTGAAATGATGATGACGTAGACACCACTGTTATATGTTATATACGACAGTATCTGGAGAAGCTTTGCTCGGTTTTTATTTGGTAAATCGTGTATTATGGAAATTAAAAAAATAAAGAAAGCAATGATCTGGTATAGAAAAAAAAGTAAAAAAATAAGTGTGTAAATAATCGTGACACGAACCACGGCCTTCTGTTTCGGGGCCGCCCAATTACCGACCGAGCTACTATAACATTTTTTTTTCGGCGAAATTTACCGTCATATTCGAATGATATTTTTCATTCCCTGAAAAGAGGGATAAAAGGACATTTTCTAAAAATGAACCTGGCCACGTGATTTGGTTTTAATTTGTCCTGACTATTGTATCGCTAGAAAGTGAAGTTACAACTTAAACTGTGGTAGGGCACACGGAGCATCCTCGGCTGTTGCACGAATGGGCAGGCTCGTCCGGTTAAGTACCACGACCTCACAGAAGACCGGCGTAAAGTGGAAGCATAATACTTTCGCACTTCGTCTGGTGAGTGACGTGGCCAGAGCTCAATTTTCAAAAGGCTATTAACGCATCTGTAACCCTCGGGTGTAGCTGATGTCCATGGGCGGCGGTATTCACTTAACATCAGGTGAACCGCCTGCTCGCTTGCCAACTTTTCACATAAAAAAATACGACCCACCCCGGTTTAAATAAACTGCCCTAGCAATCAGAAAATACAGAGCTAGTAGTAAATACATTCCAACTTCATCTTCAAAAGCAGCACGACTATCAAATTTGAAAATTGAAATCAATCACAAGTTTCCAAATGAATTCCATACTGCAAATATTAATTTTCTGATACATAACGGTCGGAACAAAAAAAATATTCGTTGCTATAAATAATTTAACTTGGAAGCCTGCTTTTTTTCAAGAAAAAATGCTTCATTAAAATATGATAACGTTCGTTATAATTGTATAACGACGGAAACAGCCACGAAAAAATACATTGCGGACTAAATTGAGTATCCGGTAACGTCACGCGCACCGTGTCCTATCTGGCGCAGACGTTCAAAAGATCACTTTGTTCTAACAACACAAATTGCTGTTCATTTATTTCTTAACATACCTCGGTGGTTATAAGGCTATGTTTGTTCGTATAATGTAATTTAGCAAAGGAAATTATGCGGTTTGTAGATCTGGTGTTGGCTTGTCGAGCAGTCGATGCGGCGCCACGGCGCAGTTTCGAATCCCATTACATTTAATTTAATCAAGTGCGATTGATTGTATACCACAATGACTTTACTCCATGGATTTCCACAAAACATCCACGAGGTTTCAGTTTAATCGAACACTTTTAAAGTATGTAAGTCAATACACAACAAACAAACGAAATGTAAAACAATAAAATTCTAAGAAACTTCCCCAGAATAATGATTACCACATAAATGGATGAATTATGTAGCATTCAACCCTATCAAAGTAGACGGAATTATTCATTTATTTACAAACCTTGCAGAAGAGAAAGCAAGCCTCTCGACGGAAAGAGAAATAAAATTGGTAACGGAACGGCTTTATTGAATAGAATGCAACAAACAAAACTAATAGTGCACGCCACTGGAGGATACGTGTAACCACAGACAACGGACCGGCTGCTTTTGCTGCAATTAATAAAAAGACAGTCAAAGCGAGAACACTCACCGGGTGGTGGCAGATGCGTAAGTAGGAGCAGGGCGAGGGGCACCGCAGCGTACGGTGCGCGCGCCATAGCGCTAGCGGGCCGCCGCCCGCGCTGCTCCCTCCACCCTCCGCATGCCCCGCACCCTTCACCCGCGCGCAACACACCCGCGTCACCCACGCACACCCGCCCGAAACGCACACACCACCTGCCGGCGCGCTTACACGCTGTGCACCTGCAACAGAAAGAGAAATAAGTTTACGTAATGATTTTTTTAATGTGAGAAGGTGGCAAGCCTGATGTGAAGTGATAACCACCCCCCATGGACACTTGCATCACCCGTAGGGTTGCAGATGCGTTGCCACCTTTTAATAATGTGGACCCGGTCACCTTACTCACCAGAAGAAACGCGGAAGTATAACACTTCTACTTCACGCCGGCCTTCTGTGAGGTCGTGGTACTTGACCAGACGGACCTGCCATTCGTGCAACAGCCGAAGCTGTTGCGTGGCCCTACCACAGTATTATACTACGACCATGTTACAATTGAGACATGAGAGCTTGTTAATATTAAAATTTACTCTTCGATTAGTGTAAGAAAATATTAATTTTTAACACGCCATCCATACTTTTAGCTTAAATGACGGCAATAAGTAACAAAAGAGATGATATCTTCTTTGAAATCGTAAATCATCGCTCTTAATATTTATCAAAAGAAATTCAGAGAATCACTTGTCATACCGCTTACTTGTATTGACGACAGACGATTACTTCCCTGATATATTAGTGTCTTTGATCTCTTTTAGTTCTCCGAGGAACTATTAAATGTGTCACACTTCGCTTCATATGAAAGTTTTTCATGGAGAAAAAGAGAAATATCCTTATTAAATATTGCTAGTGTCTAGATGCAATGGCTCGAGAAAAACGTTCATTCATTTAAGCTGATAATAATGTATGTCATTTCCAATGTTTTTAAAGTGTCATGAAATAAACAATATTCTTTGTATTGAGAAATACCTATTCGTTATTTAAATATTATCGATACCTTCTATGACTTTAGAGATGTATTGGCTTACATACAAAAATGCTTCTAATATTTTGACACTTAGGATGTAGGTCGTTAACTCTACCTCTAATAAATTTAGATACAAACAAGACAGTTATATTGAGACGCTAAAGTGTTACAATTAACGTTTTTACTAGACACATAGCCCAAGGCCAATCACCCCTAAGTTATATTGTTATTCGATTTCGATTCCAGTAATTCACAAACTGCAAATCCAAGTTACTCAAAATAAATAACATCGAACCTAACGTAGATAATTAGGCTTGGTTCGGCCGGGAACGGAGTTAACCCCGTAATGAAATTCTCGAAGCGGTGGCTCCAATAAAAGCGGGATGTACCCCCCCCCCCCCCCGCCCCTCGCCCTCTCCCGCACAGCCTCTCGTAAAATTCATATAGCAAGTTGGCAACTACCTGATCTACCTGTACGCCGTAAGCAATCGCCCGTGAACGGTTCCAGGCGATGAGGAACGATCGTAATAAAAGAGTGTAGGGAGCAACCGATGATAGAGTTAAAACTTTCAACTATCTACCAGAATCTAAACTCTACGTAGTGTTTAGATAATGATGAATTAAAAAAGCACATGATGTAGAGAATGTTCTTGCAATCTTATATTGCTCACATATATCGTAAAAATGAAGAAAACTGTAAAGAAAATCGAACTCAAAACCAGTTTCAATACTAAAACACATCGTTCAGTTATCTTTTCGACTATACTGTGCCGAGTAGTAGATTTAGCTGTACCGTGAATGAGTAAACTCGTCTAGAGAAAAAATACCACGGCAGATGATCGGAAGATGTGGATATAGCTGGTATGGACAAGGCTGGACAAAGCTCACGACGCAGTAGTACACGACGCCGAAATTAGAACGATTTTTACTATATACCGCAACGATGCATACCACTCAGACACTCGAAATCAAGGTATGTTCTATTAGTACCACTTCTTAAACGTAACAATGAAGCTCGGAATCGGGGCGAAGAAAACATTGTGCAACGGTGGCCGACGTTGCTCTCGTCTGGCCTAGTTTGATGACGTGACACGCGTACAGCGGGACATTAAAAACTTTATTTCGTCGGCGGGATTGTTTCATCAGAGCAGGCAGAAAGGAGGAGCGGAGCGCTAACGAATTTGAAAAAAACAAATGAAAGAACCCAAATGAGTCTTGTATGTAAGCAACCCTAACGCCAGCTTCCGTGGCGCCAATTGTCAGGACACCGTATGCGTAATTATATCCCGAAGATACAGGGCCTGCTCCTACAGTGTTCTACTTTTAACATTTTAAACAAAGAGTCGATCGATCGTTGTTCGTGTGGAATTCGTCGTAAACTGAAAATAATTGAAATGGCACTCGTCACTTACTTCATTTAATTTTTTTTTAAACTTTAATTTACCTTATAAGAAACCATCTTACATCAAATCACAAATTTTTACATCAAATGACTTTTTCTCTGAATCTAGTCAAGTCTAAAGAATATTAATAATAATTTTTGTTCGAAACTGTAAATACAAATTCTTATCAGAAAACTACAACTGTAAAAGGTTTACATTTAACCGAAAAGATATTTTGTAGGGACGAACAAAATGTTGTAGCTTATAAAACCACGTGACAACAAAAGTTACCGTTACAAAGACTGCCATGTCTATGCCACCCTATTGTGTGTTGTATTACTGTCCACGTTTTCCTCAATCCCACCATCAGCCGCGTGTAACATATTGACGAAAAAAGTGTATGAACGTTGCCGAAAGTTTGTTCCGGCGCCTAATGGAGGTGGGAAGCCAGCTCTCTGCCCTGAATGTTTCTGTCGGGATTCGCTAACCGAAACGCGATATCTCTCGACGCGGGTGACACCGGTCTTACTATCTACGTTCATCGATCTTACTCAACGTTTATCTACGTTTGTCCATTTTGTCTGCCTTTGTAAATGTTCGTATTTATTTTTTGACTGTCATTATCCTAATGCATTATGCGTTCCTTGTTCCGTTCTTTGTTCCTTATTGGATAATGTTTACTTTTCAAATTTAAATGGACTTAATAAAGTTTCCTCAGTATCGTTGATTGCTAATTTTTTATAAGTATTGAGTACATGAACTACGTTTTAATTAACTGTTTAATTATGTCAGTTCTGGATGGCATCACGTGCTCCTAATATATTTACATCTATTATGAATCGAAAAATTAGGATTCAAATGTATAAATAATATTTGACGTCGTCAAATTAAAAACCAACATGAATATGATGTTATCCTATAGTTTTATTTTATTTTATTATAAACCAAGGTATATAAAACTGACCTCAAAAGCTTACCAAAATATATATCGTAAAATAATCACCATTCAGTCGAAGTCAAAACTAAACTTTTTAAATTTCACGTGGTTTAAAGCTCAAATTTAATCAAGAGGAAAAAAGGATGAACATAGTGCATTATTAAAATAAAGTGTAACAACAATATAATTGGCAATATCATAGATACATGAAATTGTTCCTGCGTCTCCTGACCCTACATACCGAGTGAAGAATGTGCATTTGTAAATCAAGGTGCAGTCCGTAGCCGGTCTTCGCAGTGCTCATTAAATGGAGACCGTAAAGCAGGGCCCCCACTTCCTCGAAGCCGAGGGCATAAATCGGACCGCATAGTTAAAGGTCGAGCGGCACTTAAGACTGCCTGCTGCGTAATATAAACGCGATTGTAAAAGGAGTTTGGCGTAGGGACGAGCATTTCACTATCGGAAAATGTACCAAGAACACGCTCTCGTCGTTTAACCACGAATGGGATAGACAGAAGTAGCCGATGCCGATGGTTTGAAAATCTCTGTGACCTAATCTCATATCGTGACAGATACTTCTTCAGGTTTAAGTGGAGTTATTTACACGGTTTACAGGAGCCCTAAGTGTGGCTTGATAGAAATCGTCATATAAGGACGCAAGCGAAGCGTTATGTCTCCTTCATTTTCACTATTCGCTCTATCTGTCTCTTTCTTACACACTTATATATATACTTTATTGTACACAACAAAAAGTTTTATACAGTTCATATAAAATAAATCTTTAAAGCTAGGTACAATAAGGCGGTCTTATCGCTAAAGAGCGATCTCTTCCAGACAACCTTAGGACAAGGAAAATAAACTTATGAATAGTGGGAGGTGGTGTGCTTTATAAATTTACTTAATAATAACAAAATAAATTATAATAAACATACATAAACATAAATAAATATATAATATATAATAATAGGCCTTAGCATCTATGACAGATGATCTAAGTAGCGTCGCGGTGACATTTACGCTCGTGGCTGAAGAGGCCGATCCTAGAGGTGATCCCTCGGCCGCACCCTCGGCAAGTGAAGCCCCCTCGTTGTTCGTGGTTGGCGGCTTTCTTTACGCCCTGTACGTTTTTTCTTTAAAAGATCGAACCAGGATTCGTCGTGCTTAGATTGGCCTTCTCGAACAAGTTTGCGCCACTTGCCTCGGTCTGCCGACAGCTCTTCCCATTGCTGCGTTGGAATGTTAAATGCGATCATATCACGCTTGACGCAATCTTTAAAGCGCAATATAGGTCGCCCAATGGGTCTTTTTGCATCTGCGAGCTCTCCTAGTAAGATTTGCCTTGGCAAACGAGCCTGTTCCATGCGATGCACATGCCCGAGCCACCTGAGCCTTCTCTGTTTGAGGGTGGCGGTGATACTGGGTAGTTGCGCAGCGCCTAGCACAGACTCGTTTGTCATGCGGTCTCTCCAGGTGACGCCTAGTATGCTTCGAAGACAGCGCATGTGGAAACTGTTCAGCCGACGTTCTTGCTTTGCATATGTCGTCCAGGATTCCGCTCCGTATAGTAGTGCACTAAGAACGCACGCTTCGTAAACAAGCATCTTTGTTTTTAACGTTAGACGCTTGTTTTTCCCAAGCCCTAGAACGGAGCCCGCTTTGCCGATGCGGGAATCGATCTCTGCATCAAGCGAGAGATTGCTCGACACTTGCGAACCCAGGTAGCAGAACTTGCTGACCACCTCCAGTGGAGTGCCGTTTAGCAGAATTACTGGAGACTCTGAGTTTCCTTGCGCTAAAATTACGGTCTTCTTAGCGTTGATAGACATGGAGAATAGGTCACATGCTCTGGCAAATTTGTCCACTAGTTTCTGGAGCTCAGCTTGATCGTGGGCGACGAAGGCAGCGTCATCAGCAAAGAGAAGGCTGTCAACAAAGAGGTCCTCTCTGTGACGCTTGGACTTGAGCAGGGAGATATTGTACAGCCTACCATCGGATCGTGTGTGAAGGTGGACGCCCTGATTCTCATTACCGAAAGCAACATTAAGAAGTACAGAAAAGAATATTCCAAACAGGGTTGGAGCCAAAACACAGCCTTGACGAACGCCTCTGTGAACGTGAAACGGCTCTGACGATTCGCCATCGTGCAAAACTGTGGCCTCCATGTTCTCGTGGAATGACTGTACTATCTTTAGAAGTTTTGGCGGGCATCCAATCCTAGTAAGAACTGAATACAGCCCCTCCCTGCTCACAGTATCGAATGCCTTGTTCAAGTCCACGAACGCAACGACTAGTGGAATCTGCTGCTCTCTACACTTCTCTTGTAGTTGACGAAAAGAAAATATCATGTCAACGGTTGAGCGCTGACACCTAAAGCCGCATTGTGCCTCGGGATAAACGCGGTCAGCAAGTTTCTGCAGTTTGCCTAGGATTGTTCTAGCAAAAGCTTTACCGACGATACTGAGAAGGGATATTCCGCGGTAGCAGTGACAGTCGCCGCGGTCACCTTTGCCCTTGTAAAGTGTTACGATGTTGGCATCACGCATATCCCGTGGCACGCAGCCCGTTTCCCAGCATTTAGCCAGATGGTTGTGAAGGACTGGGAGAAGGCAGTTGAGATTGACAACCTCTGTGTACACCTCGTCTTTGCCCGGACTTTTTTCGCCTTCAAGCTGATTGACGGCCAGTTGGAGCTCCTCTACGGTGGGTGGGTGGGCGTCTAACTCATACCAAGTCTCCGGCTTTATGGAGACGGGGCGAGAATAAAGGCCGGTGTAGTGTTCCACCCATCTAGTCATTTGTGCCATCTAGGCTACTATCTGTGATGATAGAGCCGTTAGTTTCCTTTAGAGGTGCCGTCTTCTTCGGAATAGGTCCAATAGCTCTTTTTATGCCTGCGTAGACTCCGCCAATATCCCCTGCGTTCGCGCACGATTGGATGCCTAGGCAAATTTCTGTCCAGTAAGCGTTTGTATAAAATCGAACGCTACGCTGGAGTGAGGATTTTACTCTTTTGAGCTCCTCACGTGTTGCATCACACGGGTTGAGGCGGAAGTTTTGAGCAGTACGGCGCTTTAAGTCAATGAGTGGCATCAAGTGCTTTTCATTTACGGAACCAATCGCGAGTTTTAGTCCTTTCATAGCCGAAAGCCTCTCCTGCAGTTACAGTGAGGAGAGTTTTATTCTTTCCCACTCAGCTTCCGGCGTTGCCGATCTGTCCCATGTAGCAACTTCCGTGTTAACCAAGGCCCCGAAACTCGCCACTGCATCCGGGTCCCGAGTATTAAAAAGGTTAATCCTTTTACGACCCGAGAGCCTCGAGGAGTGGATTCTCTTTGGAACAAGCCACACTTTGGATGACACGAGGCTGTGATCAGTGTCGCAGTCAGCGCTATGAAAAGCCCGCGTATGGAGAGTTTCCCGTAGGTCCCTCACTTTGGTAAGGACAAGGTCCAGTTGGTGCCAGTGTTTCGATCGGGGGTGCCTCCAGGAGACTTTCCGCATGAATTTGCCCTTGAAAAAAGTGTTGGTTACACACAAACTGGTGCCTGGAGCAAAACTCCAGCAATCGTTGACCATTCTCGTTTTGCTTACCTACACCATGTGCACCAAGGCATTTAGGCCAAGCGGTGGTATCCTGGCCGACGCGAGCGTTAAAGTCACCTAAGATGTAAAGTCTGTCTGTTGAGTGTACCCCACGAATTGTTTCCTTGAGCCGGTCGTAGAATTGATCTTTGCTCTCAGGTGTGGAATTGAGCGTCGGAGCATAAGCGGAAACAAGCGTGACAAAGCCGCACTTTGTATTAAGACGCAAGATCATAATACGCTCAGACACCCCAATAGGTGTCTCTGTAGCGTTTAGTAGGTGATTACGGATCGCAAATCCTACACCATGCTTACGGTTCTCTATCGAACTCTTGCCCTTCCAGAAAAAAGTGTAGTTCGCCTCGCGTATAGACCCCTCGTCTTCGATTCTGGTCTCTTGTAAGGCCGCGATATCGACGTTGAGCCTTTTGAGTTCGATGTCGATATTATAAGTTTTGCGCAGGTCTTGGGCGCAATCGAAACTCCCACAGGTGTTCGGAAAGCCTGTCCTCATTGTTCGGACATTCCATGACGCGAAGCGCATGTAAGTAGCATTGATGTTGGGTTTGGGTTTTTGTGTATTTGTTTGAGCAGGTGTTTGTAGTTACAGCACCAACATCTAGCTGTGAGGCTTGTGTTCTGTTCACCCAGGCAGAACACGTTGGTGCTGAGGCGGATCAGTACCTTATTGGTCGAGGGCTGCCCGACTTAGAGCAGGCGGTAACTGATCAGTGGACCTACAAAGGATCCTCCTACTGTCGGAAGTGACCCCTGGCGCCCGCACTTACGCCTATTGGTGCTGACTTACAACCGGTAACTGCCACTTCCCGTGTTGTTTTCCACCTGTAAGGCAGGTGGAAAACAACACGGGAACAGCAGGGCGAAGTGACCTCTCCGCGGATGCTACTACGCCTGGGTCAGACAACTTTATGACAGCACGGGCTTGCCCAGAACCCGTGCCACCCTCTCCTCCTTCCCGGCAGGTTCCACAGGAATAACAAGTCAATACGTGCGGTGCCGGTT